TGATTTGGTCACTGTGAAGCATGAAAACATGTTATAGGAGTGGCCTAAAACGGGTATAAAAAGAGCTCAGGAACTACACATCCAATTTTTTAAACCGTACATTATATGGTACTACATTACCTGTTCTCTTTTTTTCCTTCATAGCACAACTCTATTGATTCAGTTTTCTAACACAGCGTTCACTTCTTATTTTGCATTTCAAGCTAGAATGCTTCATATTGTGTCATTGGTTATATACCTTATCGGGATTGCAACATCCCTAGCAGCACCTACGACCTCCAACAAGCTAAATGTCCGGCAGACAGAATCGTCGGCCCGCAGATACACCTGTGAGAGTGCTGTTCTGGACTTCTCCGATCCCCAGGCCCTGAGTAAATTCAACGTCGAATGGTGTCCTCAGAATGTGTACCAGAGCAACGGTACCTTGGTGTGGAAGCTCACAAGCGAATGTGGAACCACCGTGACATATCCGTGGGATTTTCAATATGGGAAGATAGAGGGGCGTATACGCATGGCCCCAGGCAGTGGTGTTGTGACATCTATGCTTCTGGCAGGACCGGCTCCATCGGATGAGCTGGATTGGGAGTGGGTAGGCAAGGATACGTGGACGGTTCAATCCATGTATTTCGTCAAGGGCCAGCGTGTGGACCCGAATGCACAGTTTTTCCACACCCCTGGCAATGTTCCTCAAGAAATGAGCGCTGGGTTCCACAACTATGCAATCGAGGTAAACAAGGACAGCATAAAGTGGTACATTGATGACTGGCTGACTCGTACGCTTCCAAGAACCAGCGGTGTTCCATTCCCATCCGATGCAAGCGGCACCCGCATGGGTGTCTGGGACGGAAGCCAGACAAGTGGCTGGGCTGGAACTGTCAACTGGGCACAAGGTCCGTTTACTGCTGAAATGCAATGGTTCAAATTCACTCCATACTGCTAGTGCATCTACCGATCCATGTGGCTTTTGCAACGCTTTGTTGATTAAGCTGTAATCAACATTTACATAATTAGTATCCTTCAATACGAGCAATAATAATTAAACAAAAAGAACATTAATAAAAACCTATTTAGCAGCAATAATAGCAGTGTCCGCACCGACATCCTCGTCGGTTTCAACGCCAATGTCTGCAAACAGATCCTTCATCTTTCCTGGATAGTTCTCTGAAATCGCATCAGATATGTTTTTAAACATGCGCTTCCTTGCCTTCCAGTGCTTGAGCATAGCTGCATGCTCCGTCTCAATTTTCGCCTTTTCTTCGGGCGAAATAACCTCGCCGGATCGCAAGTGTTCAAGTCTTTCGTCGTTCTCCTTTATCTAGAACTGTCCCAAAAGATGTTTCACCAAACAAAAGAAAGAACCATTAGTTAGATGCAGCGACTTTAGCCATTATACAAGGATCCTGCCTTGATAGCAACACAAACACATACCATGACTTACCTCGTTTGATAGCTTGGAAATACGCTCTCTCATCTGGTCGTCAGTCAATGCGCTATTTAACCCTTGCAACCGTCCGGCTAGTGATTTGTTGTTTGACTTTAGCGCATCAACCCGCTCCTCAAGTTCCTTTATCTTCTCCTCCTCCTCTTCTGCCTCCTCGATGCTGGGAACTTCAATGTCGGATTGGTTTGCGTAAAAGATTTGCTGCTTGCCGTTGGCCTTGCGCTGGATTCTGCCGTCGTCAGCCAGGTCGTTGAGTATCTTTTTTGCCTGGTTTGGAGAGACCTTTCCGTGCAGCTGGCTGGAAATGTCGTTTGCGCTGTACGGACGATTTGCTTTTACCAGGTAATCCAAAACAGCGCTCTCTATCGGACAATAAGGGTAAAATAGAAAATGCGCAGCAGCTTCTTTTACACGGTTGTAAAACGTGCAATAGCAATAGAGAAGAAAGGCTTCATTTTTCCTTTTAGAACAAGTTGGCATATAAAGTAGTGTGGTCATCCATTGTCACAATAGCGTATGCGAATAGTGTGAATACGCGTGCAGCCGATGTGATTACCTTCTTCACTGACGCCCTTGCTTTTCTTTGCTGGCATTTTCTGTTTGTCGAATTCGAAATTAAGCAATAAAAAAGAAACCGCAGGTATGAATGAATGAGTAGACGCTGGCTGCAAAGAACCTATAAGAGCAATAAGCGGTATTGTGAATAATAGTACGAATACAAAAAAACTAAAAGGGGGAGCATTCAAAGAAGCAAGAGGGAGAGATAGAGATTGAACGCCGCAAAGTCAACATAGTTTTTTTTTTAGCAATTAGCGGTGCTGCGCATAAAAGTTTGAGGTGGGGGGATTATAAAACTAATCTAATCAGCAGAGTGCTTTCCATGAGTGGTGGTGATGTCACTTTAGCAAGCAGACAGAATGAAGGCAAACAGAAGCAGAAGTGCTCACAGTACGGCTTACAGACACGAAAAGTTGATGGCATGCACACATGTAGAATGCATCATGTTGCAAATGAGAGGCTTGGAACCGCAATGCGGGTTTTTTAATTATCATTTTGACTGGACATATCCAGAAATGCCCAATGTGGTTGGAGGGCTTACACGCGATGCATCAGACGCAAATAGCGTGGGCCGAATGGGACCGGCGGGGGGCGCCTGCAAAACCGGGTGCTGGAGTAGCGCCGCCATGGTGGAGAAGGATCAGCTGCCATGCGCTATGCACATTGGAGGATCGGCGACACAATGAGGAAACAGGAGCAGGTCAGCTAATAGGAGCAAAATTAATGAGCTGCCGAGTCAAAAATAAAACAAAACAAAACAAAGTGACAGACGCAGCACAATAGGTTTTGGATGGAGAGAGTATGTAGGGGCAGGGGGATTCAGGAGCTTCAGGAGCCGGCAAGAAGGGCGTGTTTGTAGGTGAAAGAAATCAGCGGCAGCAGCAGGAATGGGTTGGGAGCGAGACTGGCAAGAACAATGGGCCAGGTCTCGGCATAAGAGTCTGGAAGGATCTGAAAAAGGAAGAATGCGGCGCAAGGGGGGTAATTTGCATGTACGGATCTATTTTTGAGCACTGAGAAGCCGAGCAGCGAGAGGAGGCGGTGTGTTAAAAGCATTACCAGATTGCCTTGTGGACACCACAACCTGCTGCGCAGTCAAGCAAGGGAAGGGGCGGCGCGGATTCCGGCACTGGAGAACAATGGCAGCGTAGCAGCATCTACAAGCACGCGCAAGACATGCGGCACATTGCGAGCATCGACAGACAGAAGCGGGAAGCAGGAAGCGGGAGGGCGGCTTCAATGGTCTGCCAAGGAAGCTGTGGGAGCAGAAGAAGAACAAGGGCGGCAGCGAGAGAAAGAGCAAAAAGAAGGGAGGGAAGAAAGGCTAGGCTAGCGTCAAAAAAACAACACCCGCTGGTTGACAAGAGCCAATTTTGAGCTTGCCGGAAACAAAATGTCTCTTTGTTCTAGGCAGCTCATGAGATTTGGTGTTGTGTGTTAGGCGGCTTTACAGCGCACGCGTGACTGCAACTTCTCGGAACGCTAGCAACCAAAAAAAGCCATTCTGCATTCCATTTGATGAGCAGGTCGTTATTGCATGTCATAAAGTATCGGCGTCTTTGTGCCCTTGCTTCCTGAATGAACACAATGCGCGGCCATCTTCACACTCGCTCCTTTTCCACCCCCTTTGTTTGTTTTGTTGCAAATCAATGAAGGCTGCTTTCATCGGCTATTGCAATAATGAACCTCGTTTGTTCATGCTGCCAACCTTTTTTGCAGCTGCCGCGAATGCTTGTTTGCTGTACACGCAAGTAAGCGACGATTTGGGGGAAATTGCATTATTTAGTGCTGCGTTTTTCTGCTCTCTGCTAGGCTCCTTGTGTGCTCCATCCATAAAAGCATCTGCCGCCGCCCGCCCGCACCCGTCCAGCTCCGCAGCGAATTTTTCCCTTCCCCACCTGCAAAGCACACAACTCCCACTGCTCTGTTTTTTCCCTCTGCTCAAAAACAAAAAGCGCACACACACACAACGTCAGACGGCCTCAACTTCTTTTTCTACCAGCGATGGACATTTACAAGCTCATCACCCTTAACCAACCGTATGCCACCTTTCCACAGGCTCTCTACAAGTAAGTTGGCATTGTCTGTTCATCCATCGTTTTGCTTTTTGTCCCGTGCATCATCTTTTTCTCCGAATATCTTGCACCAGTACTGATCATAGCAGCATCTTCTACATGTAACATCCACTCTGTAGAATACTTGAAGAAGGGCACACTTGGATTGAATGGAACACAGAAGGCACAAAGATCCGCTACAACGATCCAGAGAGGCTTATGCGAGAGCTGCAGACCCTCGGCTTCAAAGCCCAGGACTCGGCCTCGCTTAGCAAGAACTTTAACGACTACGGCTTCAAGCGTCTTAGCGACGCACGCAAGTCCCGCTACGACCCGTGGAGAAGCAACTGGACCATGTTTGCGCACCAGAGCTTTCTGCGCAACGATGCCGACAGCTCTAACAACATCCAGCGTCGCCGTGCCCGCCGTCCGCGTGCCTCTTCCAAAAAGTCATCGCCATGCTCCGATGATAGCGTATGGTAGATGCCACTTGCGCATTAAAAAAGAGGGATGAAGATGGGAAATCCTAAAGAACACTCATTTATTGCTCCTATTTTCCTGCTGCATCTTTGTCTGACATTGACAAAGACTGCTCTTCTCTCTCTCACACATCCATTGTATAAATTTACATAAACACATTTTCTCATTTATTCATATGTCTAGCATATCGTGTCTGAAATAAAAGAAAGCGATTTACATTTACAATAAAATTGTATAATTGTTCTTCCAAGAACATGCTGCTATTTGTTACAGATCGGGCACGATGGATTTACATCTAACACCCCAGCTATCTAGTATTTGAAGTTTGCATTGTCATGCTGTGTTATTGACTCTGTCTGATTCACACTGGAACCAACAGATGCTGTTCAACAAAAAAAAAGTTTACCAGCAAGAATCTGCTGTTCAAATAATCTGTTGTAATGGCGACAAAAACAACAAAAAAGCAGTGCGTCGACCGGGAATCGAACCCGGGACGAGTGCTTGGGAAGCACCAATTATGCCACTTAACCATCGACGCTTTCAAGCCTGTATTTCAGCCAATTCAAGCCGGTTGAGGGATAAATGCAAAAACACAGTACACTCCAACAACGACATAATTGCATTGTTCTTTCTAGTCAGACTTTGGATGTTTGCATTATACATGGGAGTTTCCTTTGGAAATGACATCAAACACATACTCAAATATCCAAATAATAATATGCCTTAAAGTATAAAAGAGTCCTTCCTTCTTACTCGTCATCGTCGATAAAGAACATCTCAATCTGTCGACGGAGATCCTCCTGGCTATTGTGGTAGCTAGATGCATTAGCACCAGGAAACACAGTGTCTGGCGCAGCAGAATGGACAATGCCTTGGCACGAGTAGCAGAGCAATCTGGTGACATCAGCGGCTGTCTGGGCATTATTCTCGCTGCAGCGGTCTGTAGAATCGGTTGACTTTGACGGACAAGGCAAGGCGGCAGCGTCAGAGCTGCGGTTGACTGTAAGACGGGATTTCCACTCTTGGGCGTTGTGTTCAACAGGCAGTCCGCACAAAAGACACGGCAAAGCATCGCGCGCACTCTTCTGCGGCTCAAGCTTCTGCATTGTCCTGCCGATGGTGGACACAGTGGATGAAAAGTCCTGATCCAGACCAACCACAAACGCCTCAGTCAGCCGGCCAATCGATGCGCGTGCGGGAGCGGCCGTGGTGAATGTAGGAACCACCACTGTTTTTTGTGCAGTCCACCGGTTGAAGAACCCGATCTCCTTCATGATGAAATCGCGCATGGGGCGGTAGACCACAACATCAGAGAACCAGGTGGATTCTGCACCAACCTCAAAGGGCAGGGAGAACCCACGGCCGCGGCTAGCAAGCGACACTATCTTTGTTGCTATTCGCGTTCCAGAGTCGCCCATGAGCAAAACACCGCATCCTTCTTTACGCGCAAGCCTAACAAGCAAGAGCGACTTTAGCACATCCAGCATCTCCTCGCGATCTGTATCTGTGGTCAGCCCAGCAAAGAACGCCTTTAGCCGTTCCTTGCTTGAAATGTTGGCATCGGACTTTACTAGCCGCGCGTATATCCGGTCTTTTACTTCCTGAGAGACGCCTGCCGCCTCGTCAATAGTCTTTGCAAAAGCAGACGCCTCGCCGTCATCGGCAAAAACGTCCTCCAGCTTGGCAGACATGAATTTCACACCAGCACTCTCTGCAATGTCAGCAATAAGGCTCTCTTTGGCTTCTGGAAACAGCGCTGACTCATCAACATGCCCGGCAACCACGTCGTCATACAGGGGCTGCGCAGCAGTTCCCTTGATATGCATACGCTGGAAGTCGGCCATCATGCTAAGCATTGCGCTGGATGAAGGCCCGCCGGAAAGTGCCACCATCAGCTTTGTACGTGGCGTGGCGGTGCTCTTCCGCGATCGATTTGTCGCTGTTCTAAACTTTACAATGCATGTGCGGACAAAGCATTCCTTGCAGTAGAGTGAGCGACGGATTGTGACGTTGGGCTTTGCTACCTTGCACTTGACGCACATGCCAGGAACCCGTTTGCGTTCGTACTTTGTGGGGTCAATTGTAGGCTGTGAACCGCTGCATGGTGCGTCTGATGATGAGTCGCACATTGTTGCTATCCAGGTACCGTCTAAAAGATAGCAGTAACAGCAATAAAAGGAACTAGCGGTATAGGGTATGGAGCAGATCTGAGGCTCAACAGTGAAAAAAAAACTGAACAGACCAGACCAGACCAGTCACTACGCGCAAAGAACTTCCCTTAAACTACCCGTGCATATGAGTCAAATGTTCTGGAACAAGCTATATGGGTTTTATTGTAAGTGCAGCCACGTGCGGAAATGTCCAGATTTTAGTGGTGAGTCATACACGTCACAAAATCAACAAGATAAAGGCGTGCAGTTGCAGAAGCAATCAAGACCGCTCGCTGATCATCCCTTTCCTCTTCTTCCTTCCATCTTTCAAAAATAAATATTAACTCCAGACACAGACTTCCTTTTATCTTTGCAAATTCGACAGCGGCTTGTACTACGCTTTGCAGAACAGATGCCGACCTCCTCCAGCTCCTTTGACGCCAAGCGCATAGTCCGTCAGAACATCCAGAAGCTTGTGCCTTACCGCTGCGCACGGGACGACTACAGCGAAGGGATCCTTCTCGATGCCAACGAGAACAGCTACGGCCCCGTGTTTCAGGCAAGCATAACGGAGGCGAAGGATGGCTCAAACAGTCTAAAGATTGAAGCCCAGGCAGACGAGCGGCAGCTGCACAGGTACCCGGATCCGCTGGGGCGTGACGTGAAGCAGCGGGTTCTGCGACTACGGCCAAGCGTCCCCAGCACAGACAACATATTCCTGGGCGTCGGCAGCGACGAGATCATTGACATGCTTGTGCGGATCATATGCCAGCCAGGAAAGGATGCGATTATGGTCACGCCGCCCACGTACGGAATGTACAAGGTGGTCGCCAGCATCAACGACGTGGATGTGGTCAAGGTGCCGCTGCTTGTTGATGACGGTTTGTTCCAGCTTGATGTGGATGCGGTGATCCGCACGGCGCTGGATAATCCGGCCATCAAGATCATCTGGCTGTGCTCGCCCGGAAACCCAACCGGCACATATCTTAGGGAGGCCGATGTGCGCAGGATCCTCGAGAGCGGGTTTGTTGGACTAGTTGTGATGGACGAGGCCTACGTTGACTTTCTGAACCCCGAGAAAGGCGAGTCTTACGCGAAGCTTGTGGCGGAATACCCAGGCCTGTTTGTGATGCAGACGATGAGCAAGAGCTTTGGACTCGCAGGCATCCGCGTTGGCGTTGGTATCGGCGGCTCCGAGATTGTTGGCTATCTCAACAATGCCAAGGCGCCGTACAGCGTGTCCACGCTATCGCTGGGTGTTGCCAAGGCCGCGCTGTCCGACGAAAATGTGGAGAAGATGCGGCGTGTGGCGGCAGATATCGCCAACCAGCGCGACAGCTACCTGATTCCCGAGCTTAAGAAGCTTCCCCATTTCGGTGCTATCCTTGGAGGAAACGACGCCAACTTTGTGCTCTGTCGCTTTGTAGACGACAGTGGGGCCCCGTCAAACGAGATAGCAAAGGGAACGTATGAGGAGATGGCCGAGAACCAGGGCCTTGTTGTGCGGTACCGTGGCTCGGACTACGGCTGCGAGGGATGTCTGCGCATAACCGTCGGAACACCCGATGAAAACAGGGTTGTGATTGACACCATGCGCAAGGTGCTTGGCTCCATTCTCTGAGCTGCCCACTTTTCTTCTCTCTTTCTTTTTTTTGCATCTGTGATATCCGATGCGGTTTCAGTCACGCCGTCAGTAGTCCTTTTTGTTGTTTTTAGGGCGCCTTATCTTCTTGCTGGCCTGGAGAGCGGTCTGACGACTTCTTTGCGCCTTCCATGTAGACTGTGCAGAAACCCAAATTCAAATAAATGGAGGTGAAACCTTTTTTCGGCGACTGGTGCAAATAAAAAACGCGGCTGGCGGTTTCGCAGACCTCCCTTTCTTTTTTGGGCATGCGTGAGCGTGAGCTACTTTTTCCATCCGCCTAAAAAAGAGCATTTGAGCTGCGCTGTGCAGGAAAAGAAGGGAAAGGGGGAGAGAGAAAAGGTGTGCACGTGCCCTGCGTGGATCATGAGAAAGTGCATCCATAAATCGTTGCGCATGGCGAGTCCACGCCTGTAAAGTTGCGATTGTTGGAGCTCTGGGATGCCTCGCGCTTGCAGATAGCTTGTCAGGAGACAGACAGACAGAGAAAGAAAGAAGAAAAAGGATACTTCTTCCCCTCTTCCTCGCCTGGCCGCAATGGATAAGAAGGGGGATTTGGGCTGTCTGCGGGTCTGAGCAGGGCCTTCGCTCCAGGTCTTTCTTTCCCTTTCTCTCCTGTTTTTTTCTGTAGCTCCATCACACTTGTACTTTCTTCTTCCATTACTTTTGTTTGTCGTTGAATATCTACCCAAGAATCGCTTTTTATCCAGGTTCTGGCCGCCAAAGGCAAGTAAGTATATCTGCTGCGCACAGGTATCTAGTCTTCCCAACAAAACAAGAGCTTTTTTCTCTTTCTTCCAGAGTTTATGTATTTGCAATTCGGACACACGTCACACCCAACCATCCCAACCACCAGCAGCAGCAGCAACCGCAGCTCTTTCTTCCGCCGTTTCTTCCTGGGGGGGTTTCTAGCAAGCCAGTTCTTCTGGCGAGAGTGCTTTTGGCCAACCGTCGTGAAAAAACGTATTACTGATATTTTGTTCTAAAAGGAAAAGGAGGAATCTACGTTTATTCGACACATCACGCCTATTGCTTCAGAGACACACAGGTTACTGCGATTGCATAGGAGAATCAATCTGCTCCGCTTCCCACGCACATTATCTCTTGTATGAGAGCTTGGAGGAAAGAAGAAAGAGTTTGCTGCACATACTCTCGTCTGGAGCCTAACTTTCTTGTAGACAACGCCAGATAGCATGGCATTCAAACGCATGCTCTGAGTTTTCCGTCCTGTCAAGCGGATATGGTGGCACTCGCTTGGATACGAGCACAAGACGATAGAAAAAGACGGATTTAGTCTAGTCTATCTCTCTATGATGTCGACAGCGCGTATACCAAGGACCTCCGTTTATTTGCTAGGCCTTACTTGCGCCAATGCTAATGTTAATGCTGCTGCTGCTACTGCTAGTGCTCCCGCTCCTTTTTTCCCTCTTTCCAATGTGTGGCTGATTGCTTGCTTGTTCTCCTCTCCGTCTCTCTCACTCTCTATCTATCTGTTCCGCCATTGAGCGTGCTAATTGCCGATTGTGCAGCCCTTGTGCCCCATCCATACATCTCTTCTTCGCCTTATTCTTCCTCTACATGTAGCCAGTTAACTAGCTTTTGTCCAGCACCCGATATCATTCCTAGTTTACAACACACGTCTCCTCCTATTAGCCGTCCTCTGCTGCACCACACACACACGCACGTACGTACATAAGTTCCACAGATGCCCGTAATAACGCATCGTCGTGTAAACGAGATGCGAGG